CTTTGTCTTCTCGCATCCTGCCACAGTAACACAAAGCCATTCTTGAGCCCACGACATTGTTCAGCTTTGATAGTGGCAGTTGTAAATGGTTTCCCATTGTTTTTTGCTTGGTCGGTTGGTATGGAAGTCCATGTGCTACATTATCTGGTCGGCGTTTCAAATATTTTCGACCACTAGATCTTTGAAATTTACATTGAAAGTATTTTTAATACACCAAGTTGTGTCGCTTAACTGCCTCGCCTGGTATACAGGAGGTCGTGGATTCGATCCCTACCTTGACGCCTGTATATTTGGAGTTTGCATGTCTCCGTGGTCGTGTGGATTTTTCTCCCGAAATCTCCAGTTTTTCCTCTACATTTAGAAACACGTTTTAGACTATTTGGCTGCTATAAATTTCCACATGATAAACCACTAGGTTGAACTATCACTTTTGGCAGCCCACGATCGCTTACGAAAAAAGCTGTATAGCCCATTGGCCCTTACCTGATGAAATAACAAAACGGTTTCATTTAAAAACACCTTTGCTCGGGCATGATTTGTAATAGTCATGGAAAACCAGCACATAAGGCCACATTCCTTTTGCGCCCAAAGCAGTGGTTAAGGTCTCTGGTGAGCAGCCAGGCTTGGAGGCCCACTAATCGTGGCAACACGATATTTTATCGGGTTTTTGGTAAATAGAGATGGTGGTTGAGTCGGTAGCGAGTGTTGCTGTCTTGTGAATGCCTTGTGGGCTTAGTCATGCCATGCTGCACTCTGTTGGAAGCACCTGTGAGACGAGCACCTTCCTTTTAATTATAATCCGCCTTAACATTTACAAAATAGTTACCTTTTTGGCGTGGCATGTATATTGTTTTCATGACGTGCTATTTTTGTTATCTCACGGCAATTATTTTTTATGAGTGCCAAAGCGTCACTTGTGAATGTTAGGTTTGTTTTAACCCGACAGCGTTCACAGTTCAGACTAATATTAAAATGGTGGCTCAAGATGTTTTGTCATGAATCTGTTTACTTGATGCTAATATTTTATATATAGCAATGGTTAAAAAAAATCCAGCATAGCCAATGATCATGTGATAGTCGTGCTTTATAAGCTTAAAAAATAATGCTCATCGATTGGTGGCTACCTGATCACTGGAAGGGGGACATATTTACTTGTTATGAAAGGCATCCTTCTACCAAGATCACGCGTGTGAACGCTGTGTGCGACCTGATCCCAGCGAGAGGACTGAGGACGACTTCAGGTCGGTGATTTCCGGCTCAAATGAGCATTTTGAGGTGGTGCAGTGTCAACACCCAGCCAGATTTTAACTCTCAACCTTCCAATTTGAAACGCTTACTTCTACCCCTGATCCACTTGGCCAGTTTAGGAGGGGGGGGGGGTATCCAGCATTAAAATGTTTGATCTTTCACTTGGTGGATTAAAGCGGAAGTGGTTCAGCAAATGATAACTAGTTATTTTTAATTGACTGACATAAATACCTTCTGACAGTTGGATGTTAGGCATGACTCAGCTGTGCCTGTGGATCCCCATTACTTTAATCGGTGGTGGTGCTGCCAAAAATGTAAAAAGATTCAGCCGAGGGAAGGGATTAAAGTGTTTATTTAATGTAATTTAGGTGACTTTGTCCTGTAAACTGGCACCATTACAATAATCCGATTTCATTCACCTTTGTAGACTGCATTTGATCACTAAACCATTACGCAGGAGTCTCTTAACCTCTACAGCAAGCAACTCTGACAAGATGGAGTGCCCAAATCGACTCTGCCAATCGAATCTGTCCCCGGCGCGTTTTTTGCTGCGCAAGTGAAGAACAGGAAAAACAACATGTCCGTCTCCCGAGCATTGCCCTGCGTGCTAATGAAGAGACTAGGACGGCAAGGGGAGGGGGAGATCCGAAAAGATTTCGGCCTGTGCCGTCTAATGGGGGGGGGGGGGGGGTGCGTTTGAGAATTCCCCTGGCGCATTGGTTTGTGTGGGTGTGTTGCGTAGCCGCACTTGTAATGCTGTAATAGCTGCGCCTTGAAAAATTGCCCCCATGGCCAGGCTAACATCTGTGAAGGAGGACACTATATTCTTAGGTTTTTTCCGGTAAAGTCACGTAGGTAAAAAAATAAAATTAATAAAAGTAAAATAAAACAAAATCACGACGTTTCCGGGGGCAACACAAGCTTCCATCTTCCGACGGAAGCTGGTGTTGCCTCCGAAACGTGATTTTTATTTTATTTTTTATTAATTTAAATTTTTTTACCTACGTGACTTTACCGAAAAAACCTAAATATGAATCCTTGCAGTCACGAAAGCTTCAAATCTAGAAAGGAGGACACTGTTCCGGAAGCAAAAATTGGCAGCGCTTTGTGTCTTGCCATATTTTGACAGTCGTAAGATGGCACTTTGCCACTGACAAAAGGCTGTGCGAAAAGCTTAATGGACCTTGAAACGTCGGAAGTGGTGAACTGGGGGGGAGGATTATAGTAATGTTGGCCTGGCACTGCTAAGAATCGTGGGTTTAAATCCGGAGCAATTTTCAGTTGGAGAATTTGGTTGACTGCTCAATTGCCAATTACTCGTAATAAGCACTCAAAAAATGTGCTTTAATCACCGTGTTTATCAGTACTCATTAACGTGTATCAACCAGTGAAACCACCACCATCTGTCTTAAGATTCACCGAGTTCATGGCCCCCTAGGTTATTGCATGCATAAAGATTGTTCTACAGTATTGATTGAGGCTGCTCTTTCTCAAGAGTGTTGTGGTTGACAGTGTAGTTTCTCAGCACACAAAGCGCTATTGATAAAGAATTAAATACCGTGTACGGTTTTCTACATTTACGACCTGTAAGAGCATGTCTCCCTAATCTGGATAAAATCTATTCTAGTCGGGACTAATTCCATCAGCCTTGCTTTTTTGTTTCCCCATGTCGATTTGAGCTATATAAACACTGTTGGACAAAAATATTTATAAATAAGCAAAACAATGCGTGTACGTTATATGCACTTATTTTTTGGCAAGCATACTGGTTATAGTTTTGTGTGGCTATTGCCACTACTACACCCATTGATTTATTTCATGCAGAAGGTGGTGCTCCTTTATACTTTTTCAGGGAAGGCTCTTGTGTTGTGACTGTTAAAGGAAAGAATAGATGGAAAATAAATCTTCTTGAAAAAAAATATGTCCAGGCTATCTCGAGTTATCTGATACGAGCTTTCAGACTTCCTTAACGCGACCGGTTATTTTCAAGTTCTGTAGAAGCCTCGGCATGCGCACGGGAATTTGAAACTCTTAATGGCAGCTCTCGCACTCCTGTAATCAGGTTGAACTCTTCGTTTCAAGACCGTAAGAGTTCGATTAGGCCAAATAAAGGGGGGGAATATTTTATACCGAGACCATCGACCCCCCCTTGAGAACGTGGTTTCATTTAAAACGATTGCCCCTTGTAGCTTTCAAATCCGCCAACCCAGGAGGTGCTTCCTGCTCCTCTATCGAGTTAGCTCTTGAGTCATCCAGTCATTTTGTAAATTGACTTAACTGTTTGTTCCTTATTCATACTGCGTTCAACTACCACCATACTGAGATTCAAAACGTTGTCTGCGTCTTCATTTCTGCTAACTTTGAAATCAAGAAACATTTTCACTTTTATTACAACTTTAATGCCGTTTCATGCTGGCTACTGGGCATCGTGATACAGAAAATAAATGCATATCTCTCATCTGAACCATTATGACCAGTGACGACAACTGTTAGGTGTCAAGATAGGTGTTGATGAAATCTACGGAACAATGGAAATAATATCCTTAATGCATTTGACTCGTAAAACTTAAAAGATGAAAATATTGTGTGAAACGTATTTTATATTCGTCTTGTACTGCTGGCAAGATGGATCTTCTCAGAAATGCATTCCATTCAGCCTCTGCGATTAAAGCCCTAATTACTCGGCCTGAGCTGGGAGATTTTCCACCCGCGATTATGGCTCCACCGATTATAGCTCCCGATGCACGCAATGTTACCCCAAGGCAGCGGTGCAAAGCCACAACAACCACCAACTGGCAAATAGCGACCGTGCCGTTTTATACTCTTTTATGGACAGAGCTTTTGTCACTGGTCCTGTCCACACTCCCTTTGCTGAAATTGCTCGTACTAAATGCGATGCGGACAAAAGGATTAATGGAGGTGATTGTCATGACATTGGCGGAGAGCAGCATGGCCTTTATGGTTATTCAGAGCTAGAATTGAATACCCTGGTTTGCCACATCCATACAGGTCCACTCAATGTAATACAAGCCCTGAGGTACATGGATGTAAGAGGGAATGGCTTCTGGTTTGTCTCGTACTGCCACCTTCCGCTTATCCTCTAGCCCAGGGGTCGGCAACCAAAATAACAAGAAGAGCCATTTCTTTCCAATTCGGTACAAAATTCAGTATTTCAAGAGCCGCAATGCATCTGAGTACATACTGTACATACGTACTCATCGTCAAGAAGCAGCCCGTAAAGAGCCGCATGCGGCTCCGGAGCCGTAGGTTGCCGACCCCTGCTCTAGCCTAAAAAAAGGTTGTTATTCTCAAAGACATCTGGCTAGTGGAGGAGTAGGCCGAATACCTTCTAGAGTGACTTTAAAGCTCCTTCAATTGGGAGGACCTGCCAGTAGTACGTGAGCAAGTAACTGCAGGGCTGCACTGTTACCATTATTATTATCAGCTAAGTATAATTCCGGTGATCAAGGCCAAAAATGAAAAGGCAACATCGTTTTTGCCTTTAAATGGTGCCTTTTGAGTGCTGTGTCGCCGAGTGCAAGTCTTTGCATAACTCGCGGCCTCTTTGGCATGCTTGATTGGCGATGTTGAGATGAATACACAAACTGTGGTATGTGGTTTAAATATATATTTTAAAATTTATCTCCCTGCTTTCTACCCCACCCTTCTTTTGCAGACCGTGTTCCTCCCCCCCGCCACCCACTCTTTGGAGAAGTTTATTAACATTTTTTTTCTTTTTAATATTTGTCGCAAGCCGCCAAAGTGGAGAGTGCCATAAGAGAAGGGGGTTCTTCTCGTTTCAGGTGAGTGTCTTTCCATTTCCTGCCCGGAATGAACTTTAAATGAATAAGTTTGCCAAAACAATAAGGAGCTCCTGCAGTCAGTCGTGTGTGAGTAGTCGCCTAGGTTGTGTGTCCTGGGCTAACAGCAAATTTAAGTTTTGTTTGTAATTAAGCGCACGCTAAAGATATACGTTCAGTGCATTGTAATGACGCAACATTAACGTCACTTGGAAGCCCCACTGCAATACGTTTCAAAGCAATGGAAATTCGGTTATCCGGTTAAAATGCCACTATAACATGCTAGGGCCTTACTTTGAGGTCTTAATGTTTTTATAATGAGTTTGAAAGCCTTGTTAAACATATCGTAACACCCTAGGCATAAATTCTGAAAATTAAGCTCTTTATCGATATCTTTAAACCTGGTGAAAGTTAATTGACTGGCCTTTTTTTATTGCTTTATTAAGCGACTGATGCTTTTAGAATTGGTCATTTTTACATGAGGCTGACGAGAAATGTAATTATTCATTTGTTCCACAATTTAACAAATGGTTGCGATTTGTGGTCATGATTTGACTCGTGAATCAATATATTTTTTTCCCCTTTGCATTTAGAATCTATGGTCTATTAAATTGACAGCAGTACATAGATTTGTATATAATTGTTATTGCATGCATGGTTGGACAAGCACTGTTACAATGCAATTATTAAGCAATTTTGATTTTTTTTTCTTGTGTACGTTGTATTGTTTGTGTGTTTTTTTTGTCTATAACCAATTATCACCACGTAATCGTACCACCACACCAGTACTCATTTTAAACTACCCCTGAGGTATGAAGTCATGCCGAGTCTACCCTGGCCAGGATTTTAACTCATGACCTTGCGGGCTGACCAGAGCCATTTTAATAATAACAATAATTTAACACGCACTATTATTTTGCGCCATTCTTATAGCGAAAAGCTATCGTGAAGGCACTCTGGATCGATGACGAATAGAATCTGGCAGTACGGGGGAAATGTTGCTCTCTGATTTTATTGGGTTAAGCAATTATTCGAAACTTGAACCATGACACCGGTACATCGTGTAGCCAACTTCTTTAGAGCGAACGTCACGGGAACTTTTTAACATCCACTGTGAAGCAGACAGCATGTATTTTTGGTTAATAGACCCGCAGTATTAACCGGGGCGGCCGCTGGGCTCGAACCGCGAACCTCTGCAACAAGCGGCAAACGAGCGATGGCACCACCGTTTCCTGTAGCTGCACGGTAATTTAAAAGGCGTTGGCCGACCTTATCTGCTGCAAACTGTGATGTCATTTGTATAAGAATACCCTTCTGTGCCTGTATCCATCGCCCAATTTCAAGTTCTTTCCCAATTGCAAGATTATTTGTCCTATTACAAATGACCTATGTCCTTTTTAAAAAGGCTATGGATCTTCATTCATTCAATTGATACAACTTGAGGTAGTTGAACGTCCATTAGGACGAAACAGTCTTGCTCAGAAGAGGCAGGTGGGGTAGAAAAATACAATCGGGCAAAAATGTATTTAGTGATAGTCTAGTACACAAAACTTAACACTCGACATTCCAAACAATAGTTAGATAGTGTATGAAATGACTAAATAATATATAATGATCCAACACAACCACTGCAAAATTAAACGGCGAAGCATTTAAAGAATATTCACGAATAGGATGTAACGATTAAAAAGTTAAGCAATTCTCATGCGTTGTAAAAATATTGGAGGAATACCATGTACTTGTAATAGACTCACTCGACCTGCTTAAACAATGAGTGTTTATACCATTGCATCGCATACGTTGACCGTTTTAAAGCCTTGGGTAGCTGTTACTTGCATGCATTGTTAATTGACGGTGTGAGATTTAGTGCACTCATAATGGCAGGGCGATCGAAATGAAAGGAATTTAAAGTTTACGAGTTCGTGCTGTCAACATGCTTGAGTAACTGCTGCTATATAGGGTGTCAGGACGACACCGCTGTGTTTAGTGTTGCTGTGGTCACGTTCACTACATACACAGCTTTGAAATTTGTGTCCAGTGGCTGCACAATGGGAGCCAGCTGGCTTTATAGCAGCATGGCGGTGTCTCCCTCGGGCTCAGTCAGGGCTGTGTTCCTCGTGGGATCAGTAAGTGGGTTCTGTGTATCCTCCTGCTTGAGTCGATTGGAGGGGTTTTTTACTGGGTTTTGTGAAATGCTGGAGAGTCATTGAGGAGAGATCACTGAGAAAGAGTTATCCTAGTAGCACATAAATTGATGTTTGCTAAGACAAACGCTTGGTATAAAAGTAGTCTACATTTGAGCTGGGGGGGGGAACCCCATATCTGGGTCAAGTAGAAACATTCTTCCCCTGTGGGTTCTGTCGAGACTTCTGGGTTTAGTACAAACTCTTCGCCTTGAGTAGGTGTTCTCTCCTCGTGAACCCAGAAAGACTCCTCCCATCTGGGTTCAGACACCTTTGGGTTGATTTCAGAGACGTTTTCTTCAAACTAAAATGCTGTCTAGGTTACGTCGGAGTCGCTCTCCTCTGGGCTCAATAGGAGACGCTACTTTCGGCTTTCAGAGAAACGGTTAAAAACCTAAACTTTAAAAACACTGGCAGCATTGCCGCAGTCCGACCACAGCTCTATGAAATCTCTGGGCTGTCCAATTTGGTGGGGGCAGGTGATCACGCGCGGGGGGCCGTGCGTGTGCAGATCTTCAGCGGGTGGGGGAGGAGGTAGGGGTGCGTCCACCCAATGTCTCGCTACTGCCGGCAATAGATGAGCACTTTAGCCCTAACCACCACCACCTACTTCATCTTTGGAAGATGCAATACAACCTCAAAATATTCGTACTCATTTGTAGGTGAAGGGTGGTTAGGGGGTAGCTCTTTGCAAGCAGCAGGCAGAGTAACCGCTAGTGGTAGATTTATTTTCGTTTGCTTGACTCGGCGAGTTTCTTCTGTTCGCCACTGGATTGTTTGAGTATGCTTTGTAGTATATTAATTAAACGTATTCAATAGTCTATGAGTTTTTTGCGTGGGTTCAAACCAGAGTACCCAGAGAATCCACCACGCATACAAAGGGGGTTTACATACGAGGGTTTTTTTTAGGTTATATCACGTAAATATAAATGTGTCATTCAACCCGACACCACCCGACAGCCAATTAGTAAGGTTTGTCACGAAAACAAAACAGCACACCGGTGTGTTTTGGAGAGGAAACCCACATTTACAAAGGGGTTTACACACTGCATAGGTGGATTCACCAACCAAATTTGCTGTCCTGCCATCTCCTGGCCAACTTCACTGCGCCGTTGGTTTTGAAGTTTAATAATTCACTTAATCTGGCTTGGTATTACTATTGTGTACACGAGTGTTTTTGTAAAGAGCCACCTCGCAGCTATTGACATAATTTATTGAAATAATACACTAGGAAACAACGCAGGAAAAAAAGTTATTGGATTGAGAGCAAGTTCATAATTTTCTCTTTGGTGTACTCTAGCCATAATTATACGTTTCGGAGAGGGAAAAAAAACCTACTAAAATGCATTGTGTAATATTCAATGTTTAGTATAAAGTAGCATCCGCTGCGGCGATATGTGAAGCCACTCTATAAAACATAAATCAAAAGGCGTATTCTTACGCAGGTGATTCGGTGCATTGGTCATACATTTAGGAATCTACATTGATGGGTTAATTAAACCCCTATTTGGCAACCGTGTATTAAGTTTATCGGCAGGCCTTATGAATATTAATAACATGAAAAATGCCTCTGCTCTGGAAAATAGTTCAGAAGCCAAATTTGCATTGGGTCGGTGATCGGCAGGGCATGGTATATGAGCGTGTTGATCGGTATGATACAGTTTATAGTTTACACCACATTTTCATTTCGTGGAACTGACTTAATTGCCACATTCTGACGCATTTGGGAAAATTTGCTCTTTGGCACCTTGGGTCTACTCCATACATGAGCGTGGTTGCCAACCCCTCCCTCCCCCCGCCGGTGCGCACCACATAAACTGAACCGGTTGGCGCCAATAGGCCGACGTTTCTGACGATGCCCATGATGGAATTGTGAAGTCAGTTTTTTCAAAATCGTTCGTTTGAGATGTGTTCATGTGAACTGTATGTATTGTGAACGTCTTTCACACCATATGTAGGCCACTGCAAATCAGAGGTGCAGTCTCAGCTTGACGATTCATATTATTTTTTAAGTTTCAGTTTTTGCCATACAACCTCTTCTGGCTAATAGTATAACGCTTACATGTTGTACCTAACACTGCTCATTTGCTCGGTGAGTAGTACAGAATGGGAAACTGCCAGTCACACCATTATGTAAACCCATACCGCATGGGTCTGTCCTCTGACATCCTGCCAGCAAGCTTTCACTACTCCACAGGGCCTCCTGAGTAAACCCTGCCTAGCACATGGAGCTGTTGGGTGTAAGTAAGTGTAATTGTTTCCGAGGTACTACCTCTTGCTGTGTATAAACATCACCAATGGAGAGACGAAGGCAGCCATGTGGTGCTGGCCACACTATCTCGGTTTGCCATTTCGGCCTAAATAAGTGCTCCTTAACGCAACACTGTCCAGCAGTCTGTGTAGGCAACGGGGAGGGGGAGAGCATCTTGCTCTTTAGCTATTTGTGTTTATTTACACATGCTATTTTAGAACAGGCACGCTTATTGTGACCGTTGATTTTTCGCCACTCGTGCTCGCTCTTAAAGTTCACCTTATATCCCCCGGCACAATGTGGCTCAAATTCCACGGCGATGTCACCAACACAGAGCGGTGGTTCTTGAGTGCGAACATTTTTTTCCAAGAGCCCCCAGCACCTTACCCCCCCTCGCGCCACTGTTAACACGACCGCACCTGTTTTTTGTATTTTGCAGCGAGTTCCTGGGGAGCCCAGGGACCAGCATCCAGCGATGGGTCCCTTCCAGAAGCACTAAACGAGAAGTCAACACCTCTGCAACCCCCGACAGAAATGAGGCCATTTTCCGCAAAGTCCGAGGGTAAATATTGGCGGTTGCCCAACTTGAAAATTGTGACGAGTTGCATAAATCACCATGAGTGAAAATCTCCAATTTAGTTAACAGATTTTACTGGGATCTGTTGGAATGTTTGCATTAAAGTTGTATGCAACTGTCACCCCTGGAGCCTGATGCAATGCAGAGAGCAACTCAAGCTTTAAGAAGGATATATTAATGGGGTTTAATGTAACTGTTGTGAAATCACAAGAAGGCATAATTTTTCTGGTTTACTTAAATATGTTTTGTTCCTTAACTCAAGTTGATGGTCTTGGGTCTTTTGTAAATGTTGATTTTAAATGTACATGATGATCACATTTATTTTTAACAAATATAGAACATGTGGTTTTTTATATGCATACTCTGGTGATAATTGTGTACACGTGGTTATTTTACACTCCCTAATAGACCTGCTTATCTTTTGATGACATGCATTTTTGTTCTGTTTTGTGACTTTGGTTTTCTCGTTTGCCATCCACAGAATTTTGAACAAGCTAACTCCAGAAAAGTTTGACAAGCTATGTCTTGAGCTCCTCAATGTGGGCATAGACTCCAAGCTAATTCTCAAAGGTATCATCCTCCTGGTGAGTAGCTTTTTTTTCTCATTTTACATGTGTGCTGATCACAGACCCAGAATGCCAAATGGCTAACACAATAGCTCTGTTTGTATACTATATTTTTTATCGAGGCAATGTGCGGGCCTGATGCATCACGTTGTGGGACACAACATAATAGCCCTGTTAAAGAGATGATGGGAAGACATTACAAAGTGGAGCAGTGCGAGGGAATAAGCAGAAAAAAAAGTGAGGCGATTGCATGATGTTTGAACACGGTAATGATGAGATTTTATGGGTGGAGAAATTGACGCGTGACGTTCACCGGGACCAGCCATGGTCGTAGCTGTAGTCCAGTGATAATGAGGTGTGATGGGCGTGTGGTGAGCGTGTGGTTAGAGTAAAATCAGTGAGTGAAATCGGTGAGTGTTGGATCATCAATCAAGCCCACCGCTTTCATGGTGAATTCTATGAAGTGCGGTGAGCAAACGCTTAAATGGCAAAAGAGACTGACGAATGTTTCTCGGGTAACGGTTCAGTGTGTGGTCCATCCCTGGCTTTGCGTGTGCAGATCTTTGAGAAGGCGCTTGAGGAGCCCAAGTACAGCTCGCTGTACTCCCAGCTATGTCAGAGACTTGCCGAGGACGCCCCCAACTTTGACGGCCCTCCTTTGGAGGGACCCGGACGGCATAAACACAATTCAGTACGTCGCCCCACAACCTCTGTTCAATACACGCCACTGTGGAATATTTGTAATATGCTGATATCGCATGATAATGATGGGGGGGGGGCGGGGTGTACATGATGTTCATGGGGGCTGTATGAAATACGTGAAACTGATGGGTACGTATCAATAACGAATTATTCTTATGTACCAAATAGATGCAAGCAACTGGGTTTACTAAATCCATGCTTATTGATGGGCTATACTAAACGCACTCTACTGATTGAGTTGGAGTGCTGATACCTGCTTTACTGTGTTTTTCTTTTCTTTGCAGTCTTTCCGCCGACTACTAATAGCTAAACTTCAGGATGAGTTCGAAAACCGCACCAAGAAACTCGAAGGCGAGTACTGCTGCTCCCTTTTTGGCCGGTTCCTTAGGGCGTGCCATGAAAACTTGCATCATGTGTGTTCTCATTATAATCCAGCTTTTTAAATGAAGGTGTGCCCTCTTTGACAAGTGGTGTGCTGTGTCGAGATGGGTGCCTTGCAAGTGCATGTTGCATGTATAGAAAGTCTGATTTTCAGCTTGTGTTTCAGTGGTTTATGTAGTAATGGACTTCTTACTAGCCTATGTATGCATGTGGTGTGTGTAGTGATGTACTTATTGATAGCCTATGAGTAACAGAATTGATAAAAAAAAACCCATAGGCTTGACAGCCTTCTGCAAGTGGATAATTTCGGAAGCATTTGTTTGTACACGCAAACTCTGGACTCGTTTTCACATAGTATATCATCAACGGAACACAGCTTTAATTGATGCTTGAGATATTATACTCTCAGTAGGCCAAAGGGTTAAAATAACAGATATATTGTCTGCTTATGAATATTGTGTGAGTGGTGCATGTAGTAATAGAGTTCTCGCTTGCTTAGTGTGTGCTTAATGTTTTTTACGAGCCTATGTACGAGCGAGTCAGTATTTGTAGGAATCAGCTTCTTGCTCTCCTATGTAGTGGGTGTTTTACATATCGAGATGGACCTGTGGCCAGTACTCAATATGGCTGTAACTACCCCCTCCTCCCCACTGCTGCAGGCTTTGACAATCGTGACTCGCCACTGTCCCCGGAGGAAGATGAGCAGCGAACCATTGCTAAGCTCAAGATGCTGGGCAACATCAAATTCATCGGGGAACTTGGAAAGCTGGACCTCCTTCACGAGTCCATTCTGCACCGCTGCATTAAGACCGTGAGTGCCATTACCTGGGCAGAGGATTATATGGGTGTCGTCCGCTGCCCTTCGAATCGCGTGCGGCTTTTGCACTGGCACAACTGAGCCACGCCGGGACTTTGCCGAGCCAGTCCTGTATGGCTCAAGGGTTGTCTTTCCCCTGCAAAAATCTTAGCTGTGTCGTTGATGTCACGGGTAATGAACAAGTCTTTAGACGCGTGTAGGAGAGTCTCCACAACCCTCATCTGTACTGTGAGGGTTCTCTCTCCCCCCCCCCTCACTCTTGGATTTGCCAGTGGAAAAGCGGCAATTAGGGTCCACCATAGTTCTCAAACTAAACTACGATGGTTTTCTCACAGGTGGTTTTCTCAAATGATATTACGTAGTGCAGCTGCTAGGCTGAAAGTGTCACACCTGTTTTACTATATCAAGTTTAAACAAATTAACCTTATGGCGGGACCTCGGGTTCCCGATCGTAATGAATTTATTTTTGGCGACTCCGTCCCACCTGGCGCGGATCATTCTGTTGTCATGTCGTCCAAGCGCAGCGAGGATGAATGCCGTAGTCATATCGTTCGCCTTCAGCAGACATAAAATTGTCGCAATGCAGTTTATGGGAGAGCCGAGGTCCCACCATGATGTTCAAACATACAAATGGTGCATAGTCATACGATTAACAAAATGGAGGCTTTGTTCATAGATTGGCATCCATCTTGTTTCATGTTTTTACACTTTCATGTTTCTGCACTTTCACATCATTGTTTTTTCCCCATTCCATCGCAAGTCTTTATTGCATAAAGATAAGTCGTGATTCATTCGAATTTGGTTGCAAACGATGATTTAGTGGATTTACCAAATCGTAACATGGAGCTTGGAACGTTCTCGCATGTCTGTATTCAAACCTGCCCATGAATGGTCCCTTGGTGTTGTGCAGTTGCTGGAAAAGAAAAAAAGAGTGGCCCTCAAGGACATGGCGGAGGACCTGGAGTGCCTCTGTCAGATAATGCGGACGGTGGGACCCCGCCTGGACCATGACAAGGCCAGGGTGAGTGTTTGCTGCCTTCTTCAGCCTTGATTTAAGCCTTTGTTGGCTGAGGTGTCATGGGAGAGGTAGCACTGTTATCCTTGCTTGGGATACTGAGCTAAAGCATCTGAGCCTCCTGAGTTTGAGCCCTGGGACTGGGTATTTTTGAAGCTTGTGTGTTTCACTGGGTTGCTAACCAGAACATCTGAAGTACTGGTTGTCTAGGAGTATAATGGTCATGTCAAGTTAATGAGCAAAAACGGGCAAAAGACAGAAGGCACAAATAAATCAATGAGCCATAAAACAACGATTGAAGGTTGTCACAAGCAGGGATAAGCAGCCTGTGCACATGAAAGGGGCATGACAGCCGCCAGTAAATCCCAGCATCGACAGGAAAAAAGTGCAAGTCCCGTACCTCCAAGAGACATTGGATTATTCTTTTATTCTTGCTGAAGATACACAAATAATTGGTGTAAAAATAGTTTAACGGTATGTGAGCTGCTGTGAATTCGGTGTAGGGAAATCTATCTCAAAAACTTTATGGCAAAATGTTATTGCAGTCATTTAACCCCCCCGTGTGTGTTGCCGTCCTTCCTACAGTCCTTGATGGATCAGTACTTTTTACGCATGCAGTCCTTAATGGCCAATAAGGATCTGCCTGCACGGATTCGATTCCTGCTACAGGTGAGAAATCTTACGTTTACCGAGGGCAGTTATACTAAATTATCTTATCCACCAAGATGCATCATCTAGTCTGTTGTTTAAATATTTGTGTTTCAGCCAAGTAAATATTTAAACGGATATTGCTTTTTATGACACTGCAAAACTGTCTTTCATAAAAATATGCAGTGTTGCCTGCTTAGGACTACTGAGGCAGTGCTGGTGAGGTCTGTGTTAAAATCCATGCAGTCTACATGGGTTGCACCTGAAACTCAAGTTTCACATGTACATGATTACTGTATTCTCCAGATTATAAGATGCACTTTTTTCCCCAATTGTCCACTGTTTTGTGTATGACTATTTAACACCCTTGTTTTGTTGGAGCAGTCAAATTTTTTGAGAATTTTAATTTATTTTTGGAGAGTTGTATAACCTTGTGGTTTGGGCTGCTCTGTTAGGTGCTTGTATAGAAAAGTATCTCGGTGGTTTCCGATGTGGCAGGACACGGTGGAGTTGCGACTCAACAAGTGGGTGCCCAGGAAGGCGTTTTCGGACAACGGACCAAAACCCATCTCACAGATCAGACAAGACGCCATCAAGGTACATGCCGTTGTCCGCTGCTGCTGCTAATAAAAATTTAAGTCTTGATTTTTATCATTGACTGCACAGATAACGGTATAAATAGTAAAAATCTAATCTCAATTTGTCATTCAGGTCTGTGTTAATTTATTTTAGGTAAAGGCCCTTTGAGCTAAGCCGCTCTTTTTCAATGGCGAGTCTGCCAAAGCGGCAGGCACGTTATATGGGGAAGTAGGGTTTACATGGGTTGCATGGAAGAAAAGCAGTGAAGTAAAAATAAACCATGAATAAATACAAATATCAACGACTATCTAATAAAAATCAGCAGTGAGTGATTGACATTCCAACGTAGGGCAACATCCAAGGTGTGTACTTCTACCCAAGTGTGCCCAAGTCCATTGAAATGGTTTTTGGAAGTAGTTGCACGACATCAACCTCTAGAGCCGTTCTTTAGCACAGGGTGGTGCACTGCTTGTCGCAGGAGTTCCTGGTGGATATTGTGTCCGTCGTACCATTGTAAAAAGAAAATTGATGTGGTGAGCGCGGGCTGGGCTGTGAACCCGGGTTTGATTCCATTCTACGACAAACATAACTTATATTATAACTGGTCCTGCAACCCCCCCCCCCCCACCTGCCCTTACACTGAGCAACATACGGTAGATGATCCTTATGGCGTTACCCAGGGTACCAAATAATACAAAATGGCCGAGGCAATTGAATTTTTATTTTTGGGACACTATTTTTTCCAGGGGTGTACTTAACTCCGACTGGGGTACCAATCCGAAATCAGTGCTACTCCATGATGTCGAAACGCAGCGAGGACAATTCTGCTGAAACCCTGAACGCTCGTATGTACCATAGTGCATCGTGTACAGCTCGTCGAGATGAGTCTATTGCCGCATCGCCGACTATTGTGAGAGCCGGGGTACTATGGTACCCCGGGGTACTGCCATAAGGTTCAAATATCAAAAACCTCAACACATTTGTCAATAGCACTGTGGCCTTAAAAGGAAACATTTATAATAGGGGATGTTTTGGAATCAGCTTTTCATAGCACTTCAGTGAAACTATTGCCTTTTGTTTTTAATCGCTAAATTTGATTTTTTATTGGTCAAACATGGTCTGTATAGCATTGGTTAATTGAGAGTGGCTGGACTTTTGATGTCTGTCCTGGTTCCTGATGGTGCAGTTGGGGGAAGAAAAGTGCAAAAAAGAGGTGTTGGTGGTGTTTGCGCTGGAGCTTGCGTTGCGTGGCTCTTAACGTCTGCGTGCGTGTGCATTTGCTCGCAGGACCTGGGAGTTTTCATTCCGTCCCAGCTGCATGGGATTGGCCGTTCCGAGTTCTTCCAGGACGATCCATTTGCACCATGGGGGGCGGCGGCCATGGGCCGGAAGGGGCTTGAGAGGGACCCCCGGGACCCACTCGGTGGGCTGTCCGAGATGTTTGGACAGATGCCTGGTGAGAGGCGTGACGGTCTGATGTGCAACATGGCACGCATACACTCGCAGTGTAGCTCATTGAGAAATCCGAATATTTATACTGGAGGAATCCGATGAGCTATGAAGATATTTTTCACGTATGTTCAGTAGGGGCGAGTAAGAACGTAACGACAACAACAAAGGAAACAAACACAGGAGTGCAAATTATAGAAAAGGTAAATAAATAATGAGAATAGGTTTTCCTCTTTTGTCTGGCAACAAAACAGGTGTTAAGATGTTAAAACACCAAACTGAAACCTTTTACAAGGAATAATGTCTGCATTAACCACAATGCTTGTGGTCAGAATGCAAACCAAAAACACACTCTGATAATATATTCATTGTCCTTGAAACTGATTGGTCCACACCAGAGACAGCTTTCTTTTGAGCCATGTCTCAAAACGGTGTTAGACCAGAGGATGCCAAAAGATGTAAACAAATCACTTAAAGACATACAACATTTACCAAATTATTTATCTTACCAGGTAAAACCCACCGATGTATTAACTTACATTTCAGAAACAACCTTGGCCACAAATTATAGCTCAAAGTGGCTTATCACGTGGAAATTTATAGTAGCAAACTATTCTAAATATCAACACCCTTCTGAAACTTGTACAAAACAAAAAAAGTTGGGCATTGGTGCTGTTGCTACACCACACTCTTGTGCCATGCCGGCCTTTCTAGGTGCTCACTTTGTACACGTGTTTACGTATGAGGTATCTTTTTGTTTACGTGTGCTGACGAGATGTGCATTTGTGTTCCCCAGGCCGTGAGCTGGGCACGGGTCCCGGTGTGATCCAAAGCCGCTTCTCGCCCCCGTCTGCTCGCCACCGGCCAGGCCCAATGTACAACGGTTTCACGGGTCCCGGAGGAGTGCTGCCCGCGTACGGGCTGGACCCGGGCAAGCTTGCATACTCACGGGCACACCAGGTGAGCTTGCTAGCAGCATAAACACATGCGCCTGACAACATGTTCTCTCCATTGTATATCTCTTCTCTGTTGAATACTGCTGTGAGGAAAATCGCAAACGTTCAGCAGTGAAATTTCTCTGATTCGTCGCATTCAAGTTAATGGAGTTGGACAAACATCCCGAATATAGGACCACAAATCTTGGGCAATTGTTGGAACCAGTTCTGCCTGCCTTCCTGCTTGTGGTTTCCCACACCTACTTGTGAAAACTGGGCATTATACAAATGTAGAGTTACGTCATGCAACTTGAATGACTCCTTAATAAATGTAACATCCACAAATCCTCATTAAATTAGATGGCCAAGTGTTCTAATTTCATTAATATTTGCATTCTTAAAAAACATTTTTTAACATTTCATATTTTGCGACCTACCATAAAGCACAATACTGACCGCGTGTCTGATACCGCCTCTTACTGTGCGTTTCACAGGGTGCTCTGCAGCAGCAGCAGGGCTTCCTGGCAGGTCCAATGGGAGCTGGCTTTTTCGGGCCCCCTGGAGGAGTGGGGCCTGGAGGGCAAGGATTCAAGAAGGGCCCTGTCAATGCAGATGAGGTGGGTTGGTCCCTCTGACAAGTGCTTGCAATCGCTCTCAATTTTTAGACTTGGCAGTTGCTTGTAAAATTACTTTACTCCCCCAGACTTCTCACCTGTACAAATGCGCAATTTGCAATATAAATATTGTCCCGCTGTCGTGTTGTGATTCTAGATTTGAAGCTTTCGTGTCGTGGCTGGAGCGCCAACGTGAGGAAGCGTTGGTTCTAGCAGGAGTGCGTTGTTGAGTGTCTTGGTGATTGCTTGGCTCTCGCAGATCAGCCTAAGACCGGCGCAGTCCTTCTCACTGCTACGCGGCCAGGGATCCAAGCTGCAAGCGCAGATTCCAACCATGATGCCACCCAGCACACAGCCACCGCGCACACTTACTCCCCCGCTTGGCCCGGTATGTGTGCACTCATATGCGCACACACACATGCACCCTCGCCTTGCACAGAGACAAAAGATTCACCTCCCTGCCCCCTACTGGTGTAGCCCTACGGGCTGCTTGGGCAAGTTCTGCTCACGGCACCTGTTTTAAGGCTGGCATGATACGCAAGAGTAGTTGTGTGGCCAGCACCATATGCAACCACCATTGTCTCCTAGTGTTGATGGTTTGTACCAGATAATCTTTAGAGACTGGGTAGACCTTTTGGGGGAGGCCCAGGACCGTTTTAGCCGTGGTCGGGAATCGCGTTAGTCACCGGGCTTCTCTCTCTCTCTGCACAAGCCGAAAGACACACTCGTGGGTTTTGAACTTCAAAGCTTCACGTGTACCTAGCCCCACTTTCTTTACTACTAGCATCTCTGGTTACCTCAGCCCCATTGTGTTTGGGGGGTTTCACAACTCTGCATTATCTGCAAACTCTTGCCTTGATAAAAGTGCCAGTTCACAGGTGGTGTGTAACCATGCCCCCCCCCCCAGCAATAAGATGGATAGTGTCAATGTAATATGTTTGTGCTTGTGTGCAGCCACCTACCCTCGGCCTCAAATCTGCCCCTCCCCCCATACAAGAGAAACCTGCCAAAAAAGAGAAGAAAGTACCAACGAAGGAGGAGCTGCTGAAACAAACGGTAAGTGCGCTGGTTTTTCTCAAACGCTTTGAATTCCCTCACATTTCGTGGTTGGTATTCTCCCGCTGGAATTCTGCGTCTTCTGGAATCTGTGGGTAGGGATATTAAGTGGTCGAGTGCAAGGCTTGCAAGGTTCTCGCGAAGTCGGTGTGTTTTAGTCTGCAGTAGTTTCAGCATCTGTGCGATGTTGCTTGTGTGCTCCGAGAGATTAGCATGTCAATGTAAGATCGCAGAGCCGCCGCCACATCGAGGACACGAGCGATGGTGGCTGTTAGTGAGACATTTGACCTGTCCATGTTAAACCAGAGAGTCGAAAATAACTACTAACATCGGAAGGTAACATCACAGCCAGTTATGACTTAAACTGGTTAATAACGTCCTTCCAATGATTGCACAGATTGTACCCATCTTCTCCGTTGAAATTGTGTGTCTATATATGTATGGATGGCTTCATGGTCGAATCTTTGATGGCCAGTGGGCTATGCAAATTTCTCACTTCAACATCACTAGCACCGCCCACTTCTTTTGACCTTTGGGCTACACCCATTTCAACCCTTTAAAACAGCCTGCCTTAGCAGCTTTCCCGCTCTTTTTTCTCCTGATGACAATTGCTTGTGTTGCGATCCAAACGTCATAGTTTTTTGTTATTTTCTTTGAACCTATCTACGTGACTTTACCGAAAGACCCAAGAATATGAATTTCTGCAGTCACGAAAGCTTTAAGTCAAAATAAGCTGCCGTTCGAACACGTAACCGATTTCTGTGACCTTGTCATGGATTTTGCTTTGTCTGTGCTGGGGCTGTGGTAGGAGACGATCGTGCTGGAGGTGCTGGGCACGGGCAGCCTGGAGACGGGGGCCACGGCGATGCAGGAGCTGCGGGCACCACGCCCGATGCTGCCCGATCTGGTGTCGCACGTGATGGCGCTGACGCTGGAGCGCTCGGATGAAGACCGTGAGAAGGCGGCTGCCCTGCTCTCCGCCATGAAGCAGCAACACGACCTCGTCACACCCGACATCTTTGTCAAGGTGAGGCCGCGGCGGTCAGGGCACTTTGGTGGCAGCAGTGAGGGGGGGGGGCACCTTTGTGGTGGTGGTGGTTTTATTTTAAGGAGTTCGCTTTTTCGACAGGCTACAACATATCATCCATACGCTACAGTAATTTTGCTGGAGCAGTCACACCTGATGACGGATGCTTGTGTTGCTTCCGAAACGTCGTGATTTAATTTATTTAAATTTGATTTAGTATTCACCTACGTGACTTGACCGAAAAAAACAAAGTATGGATCCTTGCAGTCACGAAAACTTCAAATCTATAAATAATCATTCAAGTAAATTAGATGGATGCAGAGTAAATTTGACGAAATATGTATTGCTTTGTTTTATTGCCCTTGCAGGCCTGGTGCGTTCTCCTGGAACGCTGCGCAGAGCTGGAGACGGACGTGCCACTGGTGAAGTCATCAGCGGCGGGGCTAGTGGCACGTGCTGTGGCGGGCGGGCTGGTGGGCCTGGCGGAGTTGGCGCAACCCCTGGAGAATGGGGCGCACTTCCCGCTCTTCCTGCTGTGCCTGCAGCAGCTGTCGCGGCTAGTTTCGCGTGATGAGCTCGCAGAGCTCTTCCAGAGCAGCCGCATCAACATGCAAAAGATGCTGCCCGGTGCGTAGGGTGATGGAAGGGGATCCGGCGCAGAGGTAGTGGGGGGGGATCAATGGGACAAGGCATTTGGGGGTATTGCAGAGGGCAGGGCAGTGAGTGGGTGGGGTCAGAGTGTGTGTTTTACGTTGTGGGGAATGTCGTGACTTCATAGATCATCCCATTTTATGTACAGCTCTTTGTCAAAAGACCTTTGGTTTATCCAGCCAAGTGGCTCTGTAAGATTCAGGGGTTCCCAAATCGAAAGGTTTGCGAGTTAAATTCTTGGTTGGGAGGTAGACTGCACAATTTGTCTCAGGGGGTTGATAAAATGGGTACCACTCCATTGGGGTATTCAAACAGTGGTTGTCTGGTTGACCTAAAGATAAACGTGAAATTTCCAGCCACTGTCTCGGGGCTGTAAGTAAACGGGCGATGAGAACCGTCTCAATGCTTCCTCGCGTGGGCGGGAAATTTACTAACGCTTTTTGGGGGCGCTGTGTCCTGTCGTGCCTGGCTCTGCAGAATGTGACCAAAGCAAGGAGCGCATGTTGGAGATCCTGGAAGGCAAGGGCCTCTCGTACTTGTTCCCCCTGCTGCACCTGGAGAAGGAGCTCAGCAAACAGATCGAGCAAGACCCATCCCCCCAGGCGATCTACAAGTGGATCAAGGAGAACGTCCCAGCGCGCTTACACACCGACTCCAGCTTTGTTAACATCCTCACCGTCAGGTAGAGGACCTCGCCCTCCACATTTAGAAACACGCACTTAAGAGTGCTTATTTGGCTACTATACATTTTCATGTGATAATCCACTTTGTTGAGCTATCATTTGTGGCTGGGTCGCTTCTGAAAAGGAGCTATATTCCTCAGTGGGCCTTCCTCTGGTAAAATAGTTTGCTTTTGGTGTCCACAGGCTGATATTTCACCGAAATAGTCCCTTGAAATGGGACTCTCGCTTGTATCGAATGATACATCGTAAATACGTGCATGTCGGTGTAGTTTTTAGTATGGAAACGAATGCTTCGTTGCATGTCTGGTTATTAGAAGCTCGCAAGTTTGTATGACAAAGATGGGAGCAGTGATGAGTTGTTAGTGTGCTACTTTAAGAACCCAGTCACCTGAGTTTGATACCCACTCACGGCTAATATGGAGCGAATATCTGAACCGGTCATGGGGAGGCCTAGGTTTTATCGGACTTAATTAATACCTGCCTGTTGTGTGTAAACATCAGCACTGGGGAGACGATGGCAACTGGGCATGGTGCTGGCTCGCATCACATTCTCCAACATTCTGTTAAAGCTATACGGGGGTCTGTGTGCGCAGCTTCCTGCAGTACGTTACACGGGCAACGACACTGGCGCCAGGCTTGGACCCAAGTGTGGCGCCAGTGCGGGACGTGATGGAAGCAGAGAAACAGCTGCTGGCCTCCTTCAAGCCCGTACTTCAGAAGTTCCTGCACAGCCAGACGAGCCTGCAGGTGGCGGCGCTGTATGCCCTGCAGGTGCACTGCCACACGCAAAGCTTCCCCAAAGGTAAGCTCCATATACAAGCCCAGTAACGCCAACCACCAACACACCATGATGAGACGTTCGCAAGTACCAGTACCACAAACAGCACTACCGATAACACTAATAACAATGACCCTCACAACACTAGTTACCACACACCCGTACTATCCCAAACAAACACCATGTATTTTCGCAAGCACCAGTACCACACTACTGATGGCAAACACCCCAGTTAACCTTAAATGCCTGTGACCATTGACCTGTCAGGCTTACATGCTAAACTGCACCTCACCACCCTCTAGTGGTGTTCGCTTCATGGCGCTTGTCCTAACAGGATGGTCTGTAATGGAGGCTTACAGTGATGGTGGGAAAATTGTTGTGTGTGTATGCTGCAGGCATGCTTCTGCGCTTCTTCATGAACTTGTATGACCTGGAGATCATTGAGGAGGAAGCCTTCATGGCCTGGAAGGAAGATGTCACGGAGGAGTTCCCGGGCAAGGGCAAGGCTCTCTTCCAGGTACGATAACGCCATTAGTTCTCTATAAGACCTGTGTCAAGGTGGCCTAGTAGAATAGAGGTCCGAGTGCTGAGCTGGCATTGCTGAGAAACTGGGGTTGGAATCCAGGCAGTTACATGTGATTCAAACCCGGGTTCTCAATTGTAACAAGTTGATGGTCTCAGCCTGGTCATAAATGACAACACAAAAAAAATCTGCGTTTTAAATTTGGTTGCGCGCACAATTTTGCTCAGCTCCAGCTCTGAATTCTAAATATTTGTTGTACTGTAATGTGACACTACTCAAGTGTTGAAGTGGCTTGAAAAATGCAAAAAACATACTTTATGTGTGATCTAGAGGTCACTTTATTGTACCTGTGGTATCTGCTTCCCTCAGTTATTCAACGGATTTATTTGCCTTACTACACATGTTGTGGTGAAAGAATGTGTTTTGCAGCCGGCATAACATCCCATGCGCGTGCGTGCAGGTCAACCAGTGGCTGACTTGGCTGGAGACGGCTGAAGAAGACGAGTCTGAAGATGATGATGCAGATTAAAAAGGAAAATGAAAGAAAGAAATTAGAAATTTTTAAAATATAAAAATAAGAAAAAAGACTTAGAAATAAACTTAAAAGACTAGTGAATAATCAAAGGGTAACTGTATTTGATATGTTTGATCAGGCATTGCATCGCACACGCACACACGACACACAAGGATGAGTGTGCCAGGGAAGGTTTTTTTTGCTGCATCAAAATTGAATTACCAATAACTTGAAAAAGCTGCAGCATAAAAAATATATGAAATTAAATTTTAGATGTGTTGGTGTTCGGAACAAATGATACTAGCAGGAATGGCAATGAACTGTAAAAATGGCCACATGAGAAATAAACATAAGCTTGAACCATGGCTAAGGGTCTGTTGTTCTTTTGTATGTTGATGGGTGTTATTGACAATTTCCCAATTGTACTCCAAGAGCGTTTGCATTTGTTTAGTATCTACTTAAACACGAGTGTCCATTGCATTCCGGTGCAATGGTTAGCACACTGGACTTAATACAGAGGTTACTGATTCGATTCCGTCTCCCTGCCTGGCGATTTGAAAAGGTAGGACGTTTTCTTAAGCCCCCCCCTTCTCCCCCACCACTGCCTACCCAGCAGTATAAGTTGTGTAAACAACCACCAGGCTTGACATGTGTGTGATGGGGTAAAGTGTTGGTACTCTACCCTATTCAAAATATCTCGAGCTTTGTACCATTACATAAAAACACTTCACAATACATAATTATGGATGGTTCCAGTGATCCTGATTGCATATTAAATTGGGCAAGACAATTTCTAAAACTGGTCCGCTTTTTTTTTTATTTGCAACAAGCCACGTGAATACAAAAGGAGAGGCTGTGTGCTCCCATTTGTCATTTAAAACGTTTTGGCAGCTGTTAATTTTTCAAATATACACCACCCTGCAGCCAACCACTTTTGAAACAAACTTGGGCAGTTTCTCTCATTTCATATCTTGATACTGGCAAAAGGGTCCTCGAGTTTTACTTTTGGTAAAAACAAATGAGGCATGACTGCTTGTTACGCTTTTACAGATTTTGCCACTCGGTGGCAGCAGACGTACGTGTCCTTAAAAACCATGAAACTTACGTGAAATATTGCAACCGGTTACAGGAGGCCATTCCCTGGGCCTGAGAATAGTACCGGCCGTTCAAGGGGTGTTGTCCATTCTTAGCCATTTTAACGGTATGACTTGCTTTGGCAAAGCCTGGCTTTATTTTAGTGTCGTTGAAAAGCTGAAGCCATTTACAGCTGTTTTTGTATATTTACAATGCGTTCCTCAGACCTTGTTTTATTCTTCCCCTGCACCTCCAATTAGCACGGATGGCTACGTACGGTGTGAAAAGTTCAATATACATAAATGTTCAATTCACATTAAAAGCAAGGCTGTGAATAAAACGTTGGAAAATAATGTTTTACCAACTTATATTTTTATTCCAAAAGTCATGGTATCACTTATGTAATTAAGATAAAAAATGTAGTAACAATCGAACCAGTTAAGAGTAAATAACTAAGCCTTTTTGGCACTCAAAGTTTGTAAGAAGGCCTCGCCACACTTTGTCGATTATGGGGCTTAACCACGTTGGTCGGTGTGGGTTGCTGAAGGTAAAATAATCATTTTTTTTTTTCATGGCGTCAGGGTCCAAATTTGCCACATTTTAAAGATTACCTGCGAATTAATTAAATGAACTATAAATATCAATCATTGCCGCCTCCTGGCAGAATAATGTACCAGGTCACTCTTGTAAATAAGACCATCTTAGTCTTTTGAGCTCTCACTTGATTAAACAATATAAACTTTAAAGTTGGCAATACTCCGTGGAACGAGACCTTAAGCAAAGCACTACGTTGGCAGTTAAGTAGGGTGTCTGGCATGGTGTGTTTCTGTATACCAGGATGTGGCAGTTTAAACTAGTAGAAGGTTTAAATGGGATTGAAATTGTCGTCTACATTTATGTAACAATAATTCGCGTCGATTCTGACGAATATAACAATAAATTAGCAGACTACGCCTCTAAGGACAGGAAGGAGGCATATTTGGGTTTTATTTTACGTTTATAACTGCGAATTTCTATATAAATGGAAACTTCAGCAAGAGTGCAGGGGAATAAAATAGACTTAGAGAATTAACCAATTTGTCCTTACACGAATCTGAGCTTTCTTGGTGTAATAGCACATTGGACTTGCAATCCAGAGCTTGCTATTTCATATCCATCTCTCGGCACGATATTTGAAATGGCTCTGTCCACACAACAGTATAAATGGGTTCACGGTCAATCGGCAGGTTGTGGGGTGATGTGTAGGTATGCCTCCCTCTTCTCAAAATGTCGGGTCGGCATGGAAGAGTAGACCAAATGCTCCCTCTTGTGGAAGCAAGCCCTGTCCACCAGCAGCGGTGTGAGTTTGCCGGATTCCACCTTTTACCTTGCGTGTTTATGCACCACAGTGCAGTTTTAACGGTGCCGAGATTCAGACACCTGGGAATGTCAAGGAAGCTGATTTTACAATTTAGAAAATACTCCACACAAGAGCCCAACGAGACGAGGGGTATATGGTAAAAACAAGCTGTGTCGGCTGTGCATACAATTATTGCAGGCCATTTCTCAAATATCCTCACGACCACAGCTGTGCGACAGAGGCGTCACTCCTCCAGCCTGAGGCACACGTGCGTCTCCTCCAGCGCCACCGTGAAGCAGAAGTGCAGCAAACGGCCGGAACCCAGGCACCGCTCCACCCTCACGCACGTGGCGCACAGCGAATCGTAGTGCTGCAGCAGCAGTCGCTTGGCCCGCCCAGACCCTGGGCAGCCCAACTGCAAGCGCAGTCCCTCGCCTGCCACGGGGGCCACAGCCGTGAGCATGGGCACTATCTGAGGAGGCCAAGCGAACGGTTGGACGTTAAGGAATTATGGTGTACATTTATTTGGCACTTAAATTCCCCAGGATCTCGAAGCCCCTTGCATCACATCTCACCTCAATCTTTCTAGTTATTTGAGCACCGCAGGCAAGCTGCCATTACACCCTAGCCCCATCCCCCTTCCCTGCGAGGGCGTCGGCCTCGTCCTAGAAAAACATTGAGCCACCACTGCTTGCTTCCTTTTGAACAATTTATCTGCACATTTTACCAGCCCTCCCTCCACACCCTTATATGGCACTGCTCATGACACCCACAGTGGCTGTGCACCTTTCTTTGAGGATATGTGAGCAACACGTGGAATACAGGCTTAAATTTCGATTTAAAGCTTTCGTGACTGCAGGGATTCATCTTCTTGGTTCTTTCGGTAAAGTCACGTAGAATGGAAATAATAAAATAATAAAAATAAAACATAAAATAATTATCACGACGTTTCGGCCACAACGCAAGCAGCCGTCCTCAGGTGAAGAACGGGTCTGTCAGAAAGACGCTGTCTTTCTGACAGAAAGGTCTGCCAGAAAGACGCTGTCTTTCTGGCAGACCTGTTCTTCAACTGAGGACGGCTGAAACGTCGTGAGAATTCTTTTATTGTTTTATTTTTATTATTTTATTACTTCCATTCTACGTGACTTTACCGAAAGAACCAAGCAGATGAATACAGGCTTCTTTGTTTAAGCTGTGGGAGAGTTTATTGTTGAGGGCTCGTCGGATGGTACCTTGTCGCCTTGCTTGTCGATGGAGATTTCGAAGACACTGAAGGTAGCCTGGAGCATCCTCTGCAGTTCCATCTCACTCTTGCACTCGTGCGTGTGCGACATCACGAACTTAAAGTCGCATGGCTCTGACGACTCCACTCCTGTTTGTTGCCATTCACGCACAAATCAGAGTTTAGGTTAAAACATATTTACCTTCTTGGGATGTGCATCGGGAGATGTCACGTGTGAATTAAAGTAAGATAATGTAAAGGATGTGCAAATCCCAAAAAGATATTTAAAATTGTCTTTTAAAATCCCAAAATTATAAATATGAAATGGTTAAATCAAAATCCTATACATATTACCTGTGGAATATTGGCTTAAAGCCTTAAACGAATAGACACCTGACTGTAACCAAAATTCTGACACAATTTGGATTTGTATCACATCAACATGCAAAGCCTCGTTATTCTAAAGCAAGGCTGTACTCTTGTTTCCAGCGTGAACGCACATTCCTTCTCTGACGGGTTTCTCATCACATAAAGTGTTAAGAATTGGGTTAAAGCCATCTCTACGCACTGGACAGCCGTCCCACACCAGTGCATATTAATAGGGAGGTGAAGAATTAAAAAAATGTTGGGCCATCCTGAATTTGGTCCTGAAGATGAGGTAACATTTAACATTTCTGTGACCATTGCAAATTTAGGACGGAACTCTGGTTCTTCTGCATACGGCTATACATAACTGAAGATCATCGATACAAAAATCCATTGGCCAAAATGATTGCATTAGTTATGTATACAATGCCATACTTTAACAAAACTACTTGAAGGTTACCATCTCCTTCACTGGTGTTGCCTCCAAATTTGAGGTTATCAATTATATCTGCACCAGTCATGCCCTGCCCACCCCTCTGCTCATTCACAAACCCACAGTGGCCATCGTGGTGGAGTAAATCCAAAATGACCGTCATGGCATGGGGAGGCCTAGTAACCAGCAGTGAAATGATAAAGGGCTGATATAGGATTGTTTAAATATATAATTTGTAGGGCAACTGCAACCACTTCATAGCATTTAGTCAGTCTTTAAACAAGGGTAGGGAATTTGTAGCTGTATGGTCACATTTAAAACAATTTTACGGCACTAGTCTATAGTTTTAACCCACTAGGAGCACAGAACTGTTGCAGCTGTCCCCTGTTCAAGTCTAAACATAGTACTCCCCTGTTCGTCCCCCACCCACCCCCCTCATGGTTGAATATTCTATCTACCCTGACACTTGATTCTGTTTGTATTGAATAGCTGCCCCCTTCCTGCCAGCTACATTCCCCATTTCACGTAATTATCCTTTTGTGTATCGTAACCACACTGGGTATAATTTGCTATGCTCTAAATCTTGGCCTTACAACCCTGCTATTTATTACCTTCCCAACAATCACCTTCCTTCATCTCTCCCGATTGTTCAGGACCCCGCTGCAATTATTTTAAAATAATTTAAAGGTCCACATTGTGCGGAATTTCAAGCATTTTAGAAGACGTGGATAAACATTATTTTTTATATTAGCCAAGTGTGCCAGGAATGAGACCCATAGCACAGATCATACAAATGACTAAATCAGAAATAAGCCAAATTTCGTAAGATACAGGGAGGCTTTCCTAGTTAAAGAAACGACATAATACTGTATTTCACAATTTGGGAATCCTAGATTTGAAGTTTTCGTGACTGCAAGCGTCCATACTCTTT